AGAAGTGCCACAGTGGATCTCTACATGAAATATAAAACATAAATGAGACAGATTTTGAGTTTGCTTTGTGATGCTGTTTCTATAATCTTCAGGGTTTTCACACTCACACACAAAACACATATTTCACCCCGACTTTAAAAGTCATTTTTCTCACTAAACACCTATAGAGCGCCACAGGAATGAGTCCTAAAAAAAAAAAATAATAAAAAAAATAAAAAAAAAAAAAATAAATATACACAGGCCTCATACACAGGAATTACACACACACACACACACACACACACACCTCTGTATCTGTCACTGCAGGAGAAACTATTCATGCTAAATCAAGCGATCGTCATGCATTCTGCACGGCTTTGCAGTTTTTGTTCAATAACTCTAACCTTCCTGCAAAGTGGATGAAGCAAAGGTTTGTCCTGTTCTGTGACTTTAAAGCTCTGAGTAAACGTGCTTTTAACCACTGGTTCTCAACTGGTCTAGTCTCGGACCCACCACCAACTCCTCCAGGAAAAATCGCGACCCAAATTTTGGATATTTTTTGACCAATCAGATTCATTTACTGAAAAATGGTTCAGTTTGGACCTCAGTCAGTACAAAACATGTGACACAAGCAAGAAACTGAACAAAACAAACATTTTTAAAAAGTGCTTCTCAGACTTTTTTTACACAAGTTTTCTTTCCAGGCACACATTCGTGACCCACTGAAAATGGCTCAGCGACCCACCTCTGGGTCCCGACCCACCAGTTGAGAAACACTGCTTTTAACTATGCATACGGGAACGCATGACATCAGCCTTGTGTATACTGCGGTGGTTTGGAGCGTTGGTTGTGCACGTCCTCAGAAATTAACGCCACACGTCCTCAAGATGCAATATGCATATAACCACTAGGGGCAGTGTAGAGCTGTGTGGTGATGAGACCAGATGAGACGACATCAGAGACACCAAAGAGCTGCTACAACAACGGAGGAACGTTTAAAAGAAGAGTTTATACATCAAGTCCACAACCATCGACACTATGATGCGTCTGCAACATGCAGACAGATGGTCTCTATTTCTGATTATGTGGTGCTCCCTCTAGAGGTTATATATTGTTACATTTGTTTTGACCTTCAGTCTTTTTCAGAGACCTGTCTCTCCCCCCCCCCCCTTCTCTCTAGAGTGGATGCTCACTCAGGTCACCATGTGGTGGACTCTGAAGCTTCAGTGTTTATCCAGCTCTGCATGGGTCTGTAAACCTTTCTGTGTTCTAACCTCTCTCCATTTTTCAAAAGCATCTCCAATATTGATCCTAGTTTGAGCACGTTTCTGCTCGTGGAGCTTATTAGAAACATGCAGAGGCTTTTTAGGTCGGGTACAATCACTTCTATCTGAACCAGTTTTACCCGTTTTAAACTCTACGGTGTAACCCCGCCTCTCTGTTGGTGAGTCACTAATGATCACAAAGTTATTTTATGAAACTTGAACCTGATTAGCTGTAGTGATAAATCTCCTCCCCCTCACCTGACTCACCTGAGACAACCTGGACAAAGGTTGTTATTCTGAGTCACTGAGACGAGACGCCATGAAGGACTGACATTAAGATTCACCTTCAGAGCAAAACCAGACCGCTGCAGGAGGGAACACTGGGAACACTGGGAATATCTGGACTTTTACCTGAAACTGAATCCACAAACCGGATAAGACGTAAAAAAAGAACAAAGAATACAGATTAAAGGAACTTTGAGTGACAGGGAGTGACTCCCAGCTGTTCGTCTCCTCGTCTTCAGCTTGAGATAAAATGGCGTCCAAGTTAGAGGAAGATCTGAGCTGTCCGGTCTGCCTCGACATCTTTAAAGATCCAGTCATCCTGTCCTGCTGTCACAGCTTCTGTAGAGAGTGTCTGAAGGACTCCTGGAAGGAGAAGGAGAACAAGGAGTGTCCGGTTTGTAAGAGGAGACAGTCAAAGGATTTCTTACCTCCTAACTTTGCTTTAAAGAACCTGTGTGAGAGTTTTGTGCAGGAGAGAGATCAGAGAGCTTCAGAGGATCTCTGCAGTCTGCACTCTGAGAAACTCAAACTCTTCTGTCTGGACCATCAGGAGCCGGTGTGTGTCGTCTGCAGAGATTCAGAAAAACACTCTGATCACAGATTCAGACCCATCGATGAAGCTGCTGGACAACACAAGAAGAAACTTCAGGAAACTCTGGAGCCGGTAAAGAAGAAGTTAAATGTTTTTAAAGAAGTTAAAGTGAAGTTTGATCAAACAGCAGAACACATTCAGGTCCAGGCCCGACACACAGAGAGGCAGATTAAGGAGCAGTTTAAGAAGCTTCACCAGTTTCTAGAAGAGGAAGAAGTGTGGTCAGGCTGTGTGCACTGTGGGAGGAAGAGGAGCAGAAGAGTCAGAGGATGAAGGAGGAGATGGAGGCTCTGAGCAGAGAGATAGCAGCTCTTTCACACACAGTCAGAGACACAGAGGACGAGCTGAGAGCTGAAGACGTCTCATTCCTGAAAAACTACAAGGCTGCAGTGGAAAGAGTCCAGCAGCGCCCCCTGCTGGAGGATCCACAGCTGCCCTCAGGAGCTCTGATAGACCAGGCCAAACACCTGGGCAACCTGAGCTTCAACATCTGGAACAAGATGAAGGACATGGTCTCCTACAGTCCGGTCATTCTGGACCCAAACACTGCTCATCCAGTCTTCATCCTGTCTGAAGATCTGACCTGTGTGACACAAGGAGTGAGACAGCAGCTTCCTGATAATCCAGAGAGGTTTGATACTTACTGCTCTGTCCTGGGCTCTGAGGGCTTTAACTCAGGGACTCACAGCTGGGACGTCCAGGTTGGAGACAATACATACTGGGACCTGGGTGTGTTAGCAGAGTCTGGACAGAGGAAGGGAAAGAAACTGTCTGGACGTTGGTCATATGGTTCAGTGATGGTAAATACAGAGCATCACCCACACATCCAGCACTGATCTCTCAGTGAAGAAGAAGCTTCAGAGGATCAGAGTGAATCTGGACTGTAACAGAGGAGAGCTGTCCTTCTCTGATCCTGATACTAACACACACATACACACACACACACACACTTTCACTGAGAGGATGTTTCCATACATTGCCATTGGTGATAAACTCCCACTGAAGATGTTACCAGAGAAGATCTCTGTGACTGTGTCGTCCTGATGTCTCTGGTTGTCTTTATGACAGAGCTCAGATCTGTTTGGTGTAACTCAGGGACTCACAGCTGGGACACTGTGGGGGGGTAGAGTCTGTCCCTGTTCTCTGAGTGAAGAAGAGGCTGCAGAGGATCAGAGTGAGTCTGACACCAACACACACTTTCACTGAGAAACAGTTTGCATGCATCAGAACTGAGAGAAGAACTCCCACTGAGGACTTAACCACTGAATCTCTGTGACTGTAGATTTAAAAAAACATCTTGATGATTAGAATCAAATTTCACTCATTTTTCTTAAGCGATATTTGAACACCTTAACAATCAATGATCCATTAATGATGAATAATTAATGAGCCATAAAAAGCTCGTCTTCTTCTCAGTTTATGTTTTGTTGAAGTTATTTTAAACATGAATTCATTAAATACAATCAGTTTGAAATAATTAAACTACGAGGCTCTCTCTTAAAAACAACGTATTGTCATGATTTGGTCTTATGTAGTTTGTATTTTCAGTTTGTCTCCTAGCTTAGTTTCTAGTGTTTTTATTTTGTATTTCCTATACCTGTGTTTCTTTGTTCTAGTGTGTTTTCTTGGTAATGTTTCATTCTTGAGTTCTGATCTCATTCATCTGGCGAAGGCTGCGTTCCATCATTGTAATTCTGCTTTAATCAAACTGGGTGCCTTTTCATCAACTTGTTCATTGGTAGTTTGTTTGTGTGTTTTACTCTGACTTTGATTATCGACCATGTAAAAAAAAAATTAACATAATTAAAAGAAAACAGTCAACAATCTGTCATCTGTCATTTATACATAACACCTGTGGTTGAAATATGATTAGCATGCTAATATTAGTAGTAATTTATTTCATTACATTATGAAATATACTATTAACATTGTAGTATACTTTTTAAGCATTCAGGTTTAATTTTTACACAGCTATGAATAATATGTAATAAGAGAGCCAGCACAGGACCCTGTAACTGCAGCAGCTTGTCCACATGTGGCACATGCATCGTACAGTCAGAAAAGCAGGAACATCTGAGGTGGTAAGACACATAAATATCACAATATGTCATTTTTGTCATTGGTTCATGCACACAATGTGGCATGAAGGAGACAAGCTGCCAACAGGAGAAACATTCTGGCTATCCTATTACAAAATGAAGACCATGTAAATAGGACACATTCAATATTTGTAAGGGTAAACTGGGATTATGTAAGGAAGTTAATGTAAGCTCCTCACCTCAAATATTGAAGGTATATACACTCAGATAAGTCAATAAATACTATTGTGTGACATGTTTATTAGTAACCACTTCATTTCTTAACATTGAATTAAATTCAAACAGTGAATTTCACAGCAAACTGACAACAGTATTATATCAGTAACCAAAAAACACTTCATGAATGATAAAACACTTTTCACTTTGGAAACACAAGTTCAGACACCTGAAACATCCTGTCCCTACTCAGCGTGGACTGTGAGGACAATACCTCTAATTGAACGGCCACAGCGCTACTGTCCGCCTCTACCTGGGAGATGGAGAACTAAAGAAAGACTTCAGTCTGTCAAGGCAGACAGTGAAGGCCTTGGTGGAGTGTCTGGGATACACCAAGGACCATGGCTGGAGCAAAGACCTCGAAGTGGGGATATATTTATACTGGCTGGCCAGTGCCACCTCGTATCGGGTGGTGTCAGGAGCCTTTGATGTCCCCATCACCACGGTTCATGATGTTGTTCATCGAGTCGCTGGAAGTATCATCAGCATCATGAAGAGGGTGGTTCATCTCCCTGCTGCTGATGAGCTAGAGGGAATAGGGGAAGGCTTTGCCCACCTGGCTGGCTCTCATGCCTTCTGCAGAGCGGCTGGCAGCATTGATGGGACACACATTAGAATCAAGCCACCTGCAGCAAACAAAGAAGACTACCTTAACAGGTAACCTGCGTACAAAATACCACTTCATATAAACTGTTTTTAATCCCATATCAATGTGAGTGGTTATCAATTCCATTTTGTGTTGTTCAACAGGAAGCTCTTCCATTCAGCTGCTGGTGGTGTGTGATCACAAAGGCCGCTTCCTTAATACATATACAGGTAGAAATGAAAGTCAGAAATGTATTAGTACAGCTTACACTGCTTAAGGGATTGTTGATCTAATAAATAATTCAGTCATCAGTTACTGACATTAATACCTCTGGAAGGTTGGGTTAACTTTTAGTTTCTCAGGAAAAGGGTGTTGCAGTCATCTCACATACAATGAAAGTGAATGTGGACCAGGACTCACACTTACTGTGATTTGTATTTGTCACCCAACAACTGCAACGTCATTATGTTCATGTGTGAATTTCTACTTATCTCATGATTGTAAACATTGTAATTACTTTAAAAGATGTTGTATAATCACAATTGAATTTGTGATGTCACATTTCAGAAGTGTTGAGACGGGCATTTTCAACATAATGTGTCCTGTACCATGTCAAGTACAATGACATATTCACAATACATCACCCTTGTTCACAGGACTTCCAGGCTCTGTCCACGATGCAGGGTCCTGCGGTGGAGTTCTCTGTACGTACACCAACTCTACCCCCTCATGGCTGGTGTATTGTTGGGGATGGGGGTATCCCTGCCTGGCTGCACCAATCAGCTTGATGACCCCATTCAGGGAGCCGGTGCAAAACCCTGTTCATGTACGATACAACCGCATCATGCCAAAGCACGGTGTGTGGTGGAAAGGGCGATTGGCATGATGAAGACGCGGTGGCGCAGCATCTTCCTCAAGGCCCTGGAGGTGAGAGACAGCATTAATGTGTAAATTTGTAATTTGTAATTTATTTCAAGGATAGCCCCTTAAGATGCATCATCTCATTTTCAAGGGGTCTTACAAAACATAAATGAATCATCATAATACAAAATCAAAATAAAAGGTAAATCCAAACATAATACCAAACATTTAAACACAGAGACACCCAACCACAACACACACACACTCACAATCACTCACACTTAATGCTCCCCAAGCCTAGCCACCCACCAACCAGCCAGTATTACACAATCAGAAAAAATCTGAAGAGAAAAAATACATATATATAATAATAATAATAATAAAAAAAGAAAAAAAGAGGAAAACCTCTGCATATATATATGCATACACACTATACAGGACTTACACACATAGTGTACGCAACATTAAGGCACAAGGTACAGAACAGTACATACATGTAGATACACGAGCGCAAGCAAGAGGAGAGCAGGTCCAGACAAACTAAGTCCAACAGAGAAAGAAAATCAAAAGCAAGAGCAGGATGTTTGACAATGAGTATGTAGAGATGATTTAAAGATATGAAAAGAGGTGATAGATCTAAGTGAGCGAGTAGGTTATTCCAGTCTGATGGAGCGTTAAATTTAAATGCACGGCGACCAATTTCTTTCCTGATTCTTGGTGTGAGGAAAAATAGATGATCAGTATGCCTTAGGCTATACTGTGAACTGAAAGGATTAGAAATTGTTTCAAGTACGGAGGAAAATTAAAATAGATACATTTAAATAGATACATTTAAAAGTAAATAATGAAAATGTCCTTCTGGACTTGGGAGCCAGCCAATTCAAGACTCATACATTAGGCAGTGATGGGTCCTATATGGACACCTCAGAACAAATCTACAGAGACTGTTGAATAAGATAGTGAGAGGTCGAAGATTTGTCTCTGAGGTGTTCCATAGATAACATCAGCATAATCAAGGATTGGCAGCACCAATTGTGTCACGATTCTTCTCCGGACTTGCAGTGAAAAACATTCAAACAGAACGATAAAGTGATTTTAGACGACCATATATTTCTTAGAAATTGAGTTGATATGAGGTTTGAAAGATAACTGGGAATCTAGCCAAAGGCCCAAATATTTAATTCATCTACTTTTTCTAATGCTGTTCATCCAGGAAATTAATATGCCAGTTTTTTGTTAAGGCAAAGAATCTGGTCGAGTGCAGAACAACATAAATATGATTTTTCTTATCAGAAGAAGTTATTGACAGAGAACCATTTTTGGACTAGATTAAATCAGATGTATTGAGTATTGAATTTGTGAAATGTCCGAACTGGAGGAGTATATTACAGTGTCATCTGCATATAAATGAATTTGACAGTCAGAACAGACTTGTGAGAGGTCATGATGAAGATGGAGAATAATAGAGGACCTAAGATGAACCTTGTGGCACACCTTTATCAATAATCTTGAAGTCTGACTGGCTGCCCTGAAAAAAAACACATTGACTTCTATAATGAAGAAAAGAGTTGAAAACAACAAAGAGTCAGTAGAGAACCAATAGCATGTAGTTTATCTAAAAGAAAGATAGTGATCAACCATGTCAATGCTTTAGCAAGGTCAATAAATATAGCACCTGTAGACATATTGCTGTCAGATGCTGACTGTATGTCATTGGTGAATTTTAGGAGAGCAGTGGTGGTCGAGTGTTTGGTCTAAAACCAGATTGGTGTGTTGATAATAAGTTGGATCATTAAGATATTTAGATAATTGATTAAAGATGAGTTTTTCAAATATTTTGCAATGCTATTAATAATTGAGATAGGTCTATAATTATTGATGTCCGTGGGTCACCCCCTTTATGGAGAGGGTTACTCTGGCACATTTCCAGGAAGAGGGAGTTTTACCAGTTGCAAGAGATAAATTAAATAATCAGCCAGGAAATGATAAAATATGAGAGGCA